GCCCGCCGTACGCCAGGGCGCGGCGTGGCTTTACCTCCCCCTGCTGGCTGATGATGGGCACGGCGTACTGCAGCTTCACCTCGTAGAACAGGCACTCCAGGAACACGTTGGCCACGCCAATTAAGTTGTGATTCTCTTGCGCTTCGTAGAAAGGATCACCTCTTCTGCCAACGGGCTTCCTTATCTGTTTCAAAGGTCGGAAAAGTTATGTCAAAAACTGTAAGCGTGGGAACGCAAAAACCAAATAACCACGTAGTATGAGATCATGGCACAAAAACTGAGTCACTACCAATCTTGTCCGGTCCTTCCTGTTACACAAGTAGAAAGAGTCTAGAAGCGTATCACAAATCTGAAATCTTTGAGATGAGACATGGTACAATCCTTTCTTTACTATGGGGTATAGTAGTACGATGACCTACAATTTTTTTAGTGATGTCAAGACGAAGCAGATTTTACCACGAGTGAGCATAGCAGCCATTGATTTCAAGAAGTTTCACCTTACTTTTCTGCTCTGTTTACACTTTTTAAATGAGAGGTTTACAAATCATCCCCAGGTTGAATAGCTGGTCTGGCTGCTGGGTACCACTACAAGGGCAAAAGGGAAGATGCAGAATGACTCCCGCTTAAGCCTACAAGTGTTCTTATGAGTCCCATAGAGCTGAGATCACATCTGCAGCATTTTCTACGCAAGTACCCCATATACAGCCACAAAGAATTCACGCAGATTCCTAGCACGATACGCACTCCTCAGTGGACTTGTTAGCTCCTTCCCTTCTCCTCCTCCTTCATCTTCAAGACATGCATTTGACCCACATGTTTCTACGTAGCACATAGAACACATGCATTATGGACGATGTAGGTCATGGCAAGGACAAACCTAGCTCAGGCAGACGTTATATATTCAAAGGATGTGCTACCAGTTCTCACTAAAGTCAGCGGCAAAATCATCGCTGTCTTCAATGGGCGCAGATGAAGTGCTTGACCTCCCCTGTGTTATGATTTTAGAGATTCCCACTGTCCCACCCAAGGCATGTAACAAAGGCACAACAGCTGTTCAAACATATTTGAGAATGATTCTTGATACAAGTAATTTTGGTGCTCCCTATCAGCCACAAGACAGCAAGATATACTTCCTATGCCCTTCCACCTGGATACTTAGAGGACGTCTTCCGGAACACCAAATCTCATGTCTATCTCTTGCCGGTAAACAAGCAAGCTTTTGACAAGTCTCACGCTTATTTCTCAAGGCTAGCCTACCACTTAAATTCTCAGGAAACACCACTTAGTTTTGATGGAGATACTGATGTAGACTAAGTATCTTGAATTGATTTCTTCACGGCTTTAAGGTTGGGGGATATACAAATGAAATTACAGAATATCTCACATTTTAAGATCAAGTTCTACTCCACTAATGTGTTCTGCACCTTGAATGTATCTAAGCAGCATCCTTGCTAGCTTTGATACTGACCGCAATTTAATCATTTTATTTCTAACGCTGCTTCCATTCAGAGCTGGTGCCTATCTGCATAGCACCTATATTATGCCAGGTAAACACATGCTCTTAGTGGTATTACGAGTCACTACCTCAGCACAATTATATCTGACCTCAGCACACTTATATCTGAGAATATAAGTGAGGACAGGACATAGCTGTGTTTTATTCTGCATGGGCATTCTGAGTATTTAGTAGTATTCATAGTTTTTTGGGTTTGTTTTTTAAACCACAATACTGTACCCTCTCATATACAAAGTCATTGCACTTTACCTGTACAACATATTAAAAGGGGTTAAAAGAAAAAACTCCATCTCTGATCCCTTTCAGAAAATATATACAATACCTCAGGAATTTTCTCCTTCCACTCTTGGTAGAGGTCTCTCATGTCAATCAATTTGTTCTCTAGTTTCTCAATAGTCCACACTTGAGTACCTTTTCCTTTTCTTCTCACTTGAATAGCAGGCTCACTTACTATTGCACCCCTCTAAATCAGAGGAAAAAATAATCACTGCAGGAAAGGTGCATGTAAGTAGTTTAACTCTTCACTCAATTTGCATTCCTAAAAAGGAGTAAAATACAGAACATGCAGCTTCCCTCTGCATGTCAGCCATGCTATCTCTGTCCTCAAACACAGCATACCCTATACATCTCTGAGGATCCAGACTTCTTTGTCCTTCTCAGACAACTACCATTCACACAGGAACATTAACACTCTCAATCAAATCACTTATGACAAGCATATTATTCTAATTGCTAGCATTATATTTACAGCAGCACTACAACTAGAAAAGCCTTAAGACAAAGAAATTGTAGGCATCTGTAACAAAAAACAGTTATTTTTGCAAACATAACTAAATGCAGGTTTTACAGCAACAGAACACAAATGTCTGTTCACAAACTGCATACGCATATGGTGATCATACACTTCAAAGTACAGTAAGAGCCATACTTAATGCTATGTTCCCATTTTTACTTATAATTATTCACTTTCAATATATTAAAGTCAGGTAGCACGCATATTTTGCCTATGCATAATCTAACAAGGGTAACATGTTATAGCCTCAAATCAGATGAATGTTATATATATCTACATATTTTCGATTAGCCATAAAACGACATTTTCCAACATTCTTTGCTGTCATTACCTTTTTGTTGGCACTGAGGTTTTCAGCAGGGATCTGAAGTGTTACTTGATAATCTGTTAGTTTACCCATTTCTTCTGCTAAGAAGTTTGCTTCTCTCACCAGTGTATTTGCCTTTACTATCTGCTCTCGAAGTTTAGCCAGGCTCTGTCGAAACAATTCATCCCTGTGGTGCAGTAGGTAACATGAAAAATACACAGAAACCTATTTCTATTATTGGAAAGCTGCAAATAGAGGTGCTAACAAAGACTTTTCTGAAACAAGTTGAAGAAGAAATGCTGTATAGCACTGTCAGCAAACACATATTAAACAAACATTACTGTTGAGATAAGTCTAGCACAGTAATGCCCAAATAAAAGAGCACAGTACTATGGGAGCTGTTACAGTGATGATTTCTTAAAAGCCCTAGGGACATTCCTAATTTTCAATAAATGAAATAATTGCAGCTGTCTTTGTCTTTAATCTGGAGTCCTGTTCCACCGAAACTACCAGTCCCAACATGTGAAACCTCATCTAGATAAAACCCG